AATTTCGCGAAAAGGCTCTGCAGAGTCATGAAATTCTAATGTCCTATGTGGGAGAAATCAAAAAACCTCATCAGCAGGATGAGGAAGGGGAGAAGAATGAAACATTACCTCAGACGAGTGAAATTCAAAACGAAAATGTAACAATTAAGAATGAGGAGGCTGTAAGAACGCCGAGTAGTCCCGGAAATTGCGAGGAGGAAACCTCTACCTATGTAGAAAATGTTGTAATAGAAGATAGAACAGATGCTAGGACTTCGGGAGACAATCTAGAGATGCGAAATAAAGAAGAAATTGAAGCAAATGAAAACAACAATGAAGAACCTCGCACAGAAACCATAGACTATGAAGAAAATGATTTTAATCAAGAAGAATTTTGTTCCAATAGTGAAAATGAAGGTGATAATGACCATAATTATGATGATGATGATGATGAAATGGAAATAACATCAATTATCTCAGAGCATGAAATCGATGTGATACAGCAAAGCATTGAGGATGAGGTGCTGCAAAATCAAGAGCTTGGTCACAATACGCCAAAGAAAAAACGGAAATGTTCCAAATTAAAAGAGAGTAAGACAACAATTGAAATTGTTAAGGATAACTCCCTGTTTGATGAAAATGAAACACAGCCGAAACTTGCCAGAAAAGGAAAAGAGAATGAAAGTTGTGGTGATAGGGAAAAAGTCGAATCAATTGAAATCGATTTGAAACCTAATGGTGGTGATGAATTGAATGTAATGCCCTTGAAAACACGACGTCGAGGGAAGTCCAGAGAAGATGGTAGTCATGCCTATATATGTGATATTTGTGGAAATGTTTTCTCCAAGCGGGGTCGCATGATGGAACATCGCCAGCGCCATGATAAACGGCCAAAATATTCATGCGAGTAAGTTCCAGGCATCATTTATCTTTAAGGTATTTCATTTCTTCTTTGTATCCTTTTCAGATTATGTGATAAGAAGTTTCACATGAGAGAATTATTGCGTAAACACATGTTCTCCCACAGTGGAGGTAAACCACATAAATGTGAATACTGTTCCCGCACATTTTACTACGAGTCTGTGAAGAAAGCCCATGAAGCGTAAGTTCGAAATTCACTTTAATAGCAACAAAAATTAGATCGTTATACTCTTCTAAATCCTTTAGTGTCCACCAGGGCCTAAAACCCTATATCTGTGATGTTTGTGGCAAGGCCTTCAGTTATGGCCATTCGCTAAAGAAACACAAGCTAATACATGCCGAAGTCAAGCTATATCGTTGCGAATATTGTAATAAAGACTTTCGCCTGCAACACCATATGAAACAGCATGAGTTGACCAAAGCTCATAGAAGAGAAGTTCAATTGGCGGGTGGCACAATAGACTATCAAGAAACTCTAACGCCCAACGAAGAAGAAGAAGTATTTACCATTATGGTTGAAGAAGAAGTCACTGATGAATGAATGATATTTATTGTTTTATAGTAGTAATAGTTTTTTTTTTTTTCAATTTGTTTTAGAATATTTTACAAATATTTTGTTTTATTTCAAGAAATCATGATTAAATTCGCTACAGAAAAAAAAACATTTTCATTTATTTTAAACCAATTACCATACCATAGATAACCCTACTTTACCGTAGATGAAACTAGACGTCATCTGCTCTAGCGTAGATGACCGTAGGTGTCATCTACTCCACCGTAGATTACCCTAGACGTCATCTACTCTACGGTAGATGACCCTAGGCGTCAACTACTCTACCTTAGATGACCCTTGGCGTCATTTAATCTACCGTAGATGACCGTAGGTGTCATCTACTCTACCGTAGATGATCCTAGGCGTCATTTACTATACCGTAGATGCCCCTAGGCGTCAACTAATTCATATAGATGATCCAAGGCTTGATCTACTCTTCGGTGGATGACCCAAGAAGTGGTCTAATCTTCGGTGGAAGTCGTCATGCACTCCTCGGAAGATGACTTAGGCGTCATCTACTCTTTTTTATTATTTATTTTTAATTCCAAAACTTAAAACTATTTTTTTCGAGTATCCAATCAATAATCTACCGTAGATGACCGTAGGTGTCATCTACTCTACCGTAGATGATCCTAGGCGTCATTTACTCTACCGTAGATGCCCCTAGGCGTCAACTAATTCATATAGATGATCCAAGGTTTGATCTACTCTTCGGTGGATGACCCAAGAAGTGGTCTAATCTTCGGTGGAAGTCGTCATGTATTCCTCGGAAGATGACTTAGGCGTCATCTACTCTTTTTTATTATTTATTTTTAATTCCAAAACTTAAAACTATTTTTTTCGAGTATCCAATCAGGCAAAATAATTAAAATCTACCAGTACTAAATTCATTCAAATATTGAGAATTTATAAAAAAAGAGTTAAATACCTACTTTCCACGAACACCACGCCTTACAATGCCAAAAAGGAGCGTCGAAAATCCGTATCGCATGTACTTCTATAGAAGCCCACCTTTTTGCTGGTCATTTGACGGAAACGTCGAATGCCCTCGTGAATTTCCTGAACACTTATGGGCTTAACAACTTCCATGCCACGACCCTGGGTGACCTCGGGGCAAATGTGCATCATGGCAGGCGATGCACCCGTTGAGGTGACACGACTAAACGGCTCCGTAATACGATTCGATGAATTCAATCGAGTCAATATGGCATAATCCACAATAACTGCAATGGTTTCATGTGCAAAATATGCCAATATATTCATTGTGGTTGTGGGTATTCTCAAATCAGCCGGGAGATCAAGGAAACGGCGAAATTTATTTTTGATTTTCTCCCCGTGACGACAATAGAACGAAGTCTTGCGTGCCTCATTGAATTCCAAATATTGTTGGCCACTTAATATCTGTGATATGCGATCGGCTCGAAAAAGTCTTCTCGTTCGATCTTCATCGTACATCTCGGGTACATCAATGCCCAATTCTTCATCGGAGTCCTGTTGATCTAAATCCTCCATAAAATCTTGTGGTCTTCCTGTACGTATACTTAGAAATTTCTTAAGGATTCTCATATCCTTTAAATGTTTACGCATACGAGCAATTTTCACCGGATGATTGCGCATCAGGAACTCGAAGTCAGCCTGTGAGGGACAAGGATTGTTTTTACGTTTCATAGCCACCAAAGAGGCTTCGTTAAACATTCCTCGCAGTTGTTGTTGTAGTATGTGTTCCACCAGCTTAACACTTTCCATTCGCGGTTGGTCACTGTCACCAAAGCTACGCATAATATCGGAGATTTCCGAAAGCAGCGAGACATTTTCTTCGACATTGACTACTGCACCACCGGGTGTTGTGGCACCACTACCAGCGGCAGCATTATTTGTTAGGTTGTTATTCATATTGGGCAATAATTTAATAGATTTTTACTTTTTTAAAGGAATCGTTTATTTTTTGAATAAATTCCCTTATTCCGTCTGTCCTTTGAGGGACCTTATAGGTGTTCTCTCTCTTTCTCCTCTCTTGACAGAAACATCTGTTTGCAACATCAAGAATTATTTTGCAGTGATTGACAGATGACCGTGTCATCATTCTTCAATGATTTGCATATGTTCCATTTGTGATTAACGCCGTTATTTTAAATAGCGGCTTGGGTTTTAAATCGGCGCGCTTTGTAACGCCTTTTCCAACTTTATGAGTTTCTATAGAAGAAAAAGGAAGTTTCCAATAAGCTTAGCAATTGTTTTGAAAGAATTTGAAATACCATTGAAAAATACATCAGAATTGATTGGAAAATTAAATAAAAGAGAGTATCATTTACTTTTTGTACAAAATATGCAGATTAGAAGACATTGTGCTGGAATTAAACCGAAATAGTTGCAAAGGCCATGATGAAATTGCTTCCCAACCGTTAGGGTCCCATATTCAAGGCAGTGAATTAGTGAGTCAAATTTTAAATAATTGAAAACTTATAAAAAAAGACAGTCATGTTTGTTTGTTGTTGTTCAAAATTATAGCTTTGAAGGAGTTGTGCCCAAATTTAAAGGAAATTACGAAAACAGTTAACAGAAGATTATGAAAAAGTGGTTTACCAAGCGTTGGGGCCCGATGCGATACATTAGCGGGTAAGTGGCTAATTCATTTATTAAGTTAACCTATTCACCTTTTTTGCATTTCATTTCAAGGTAGTATTTTGGGTGAATTTTTTTTAAGATAAGTGGAATGGACTGTTGGGATTTGGATAATAAACATTAAATTAATGCAATGGCAAGTACAGAAATCCTATTTTGTAGTAAGTAAATTATTCTGGTGTTTAAAAACACAACAAAAATGAATTATAATTCGCTGTTAACATGCAAGTTTACCCCAACCCTTATGTCCCCTACAGTTAGATTTCAATTTTAACATCATATACTTCCTTCCTCAACTTCTTCCCTCAAACCCATCAGCATCGATCTGATATTTTTTCGGTCTGATTTTTTTTTGGTTTTGATTTTTTCCAGGACAGAAATTCATTAAGCTCTTCAATAATAACAATTGTTTCGCCGTGTTGGGTACGGAACTGAGAACCGCGTCGCATATTTAGGTTCCTAAGCCCCAATGAATTTTCCTATGCCTAAGATCGAACTAAGTGGATTTCAAAAAAAAAAAATCTATTGAATATCCGATTTCAAGGATTTTTTATTGAAATATTTGGTAAAGAAATGTTGGCCTGATTTGAGTTTAGGAAGGAATAATTCTTCATGCAATTGTATTTTCGGCAAAAGCATTCGGACACAAATCGGCTTCTCAGATGCTGTAGTAACATTTCGTGCCAACTATATCAAAAAAGGGTCCGATTTAAAGAAAAATGTTTTCTGAAGTTAAGTGCAAAGAAGGATAACTTGCAGCTCTAAATAGGCAAATATAAATATATATGTCTGAATTTTCCACCTACTAGGCACTTCCATACAATTTCGTCCCCGTGAATAATGAAAGTATCGTAAGTTTGTTTTCATATTTTTTATTTATTTAAAACCAATTCTATAAACACTTTAAATAAATATTATTTCTACTTTAAGGTTACTATTCGTCATTTTATATATGTTTTTTAAATTAGTCTATCTTTATATATAACAATAATATCTTATAATGGAAGCTAAAGATTTACAAATGGAGTCAAGAGAGTATTTTGCACAGTTCTTAAAACAAAGAGAATAATATTTCATTATTTTTAGTCGGAAAACCAATGCAGGAGACACAAGAAGTCAATAGAAAAATAAATAAAGATTGGCCTTAGGGCAATATATGTACCAGTAAGTTTGTCAATATATGCACCAGCAAGATAAATAATTATGATTACTTTTTTTAAGAATTTTAGACGCGACCTATATCCCTTCTGCATTGGCCTTCCATTTACACATCAAATCTAAAAACTTACATAATTTATATCGCATTAAATAACATGAATTATGAATAATTTTTCTTATATATTAGCTTATCCAACGAGAAAAAAAAGATTAAAGGAAAAACAAAAACTTGAGGTCAGGACACCTAACCCACCAACGTAAGTAGTAGACTTTTATATTTTAACACCATTTTCTTTAAAAACAAAATATATTTACAGCACAGTTTCTTTTCTTATCTTTTAGATATATTTTTTTAAAAATATACCGTTAAATTATTTTCCGATGAACCCATTGTATCGGAAGCAACCAAATTGCTGGAGGCCCCATTAACACCAACATTTGTTACACTACCATTGGCGCAGGTGATTGTTGTAATACCCGTCTGTTGAGACATTGTCGTCGATGGTGGCTCCCAGGCTCTTTTCTTATTATTGATTTCCGCCGAATGTGGAGAATTTTGTGACAGTGAATCATTTTCCAGTTCATCTTCTTCGTAGAGTTGGCCATTGGCAGAGGCCCTTGAAACGATACCTGAAAAAGGAATTTGATAAATAATGTGAGAAATTTTAAAATTTTGAAGGAAAAATATTTAATGTCTTAATTTTTATTTATATAGGACACCTTAAGAACACCTGTGTAATACGGACTAGTTAATGTAGAAGAGGGGACAATGGTGTCCGTGGATGCATTGAAGAACGATTTAATGGAACATTTTTGAAGAATGTTTTTGGGGTTTGATCTATATTTTTAAGCACAAACCAAACATGAAATAGATTTTTAACGAATATTTTTTCTAGGACCAACAGAATATAAAGTATGGATTTCTAAAGAACGTTTCCAAGGACCAGCAGAGCATGCAATGTAGATTTTTAGAGAATATTTTTTAAGGGCCATCAGACGATGTAACGTGAATTTGTTTAAAGAATATGTTTCCAAATACCAAGGTTTTGCAAAGACCAGGACTGCATGAAATGTGGATTTTTAAAGCATATATTTCAAGGACCATCAAATCATGTAACGTGGATTTTTTAAAGAATATTTTTCTAAGGACAAGCGATTCATGTAACGTGGATTTTTCAAGAATATTTTCCAAGGACCATCAAATCACGTAACGTGGATTTTTAAATAATATTTTTCCAGGACCAGCAGATCATGTAAGGTCGATCTTTTCAAGATAATTTTCCAAAACCACCAGAGCATTTATGGGATCTTTTAAAGTATATTTTTGGGGGACCATCAGCGCTATAATCGAGGGTTTTTTAAACAATATCTTTTCGAGGATTATTAGAGCTATAAACGTTGATCTTTTAAAGAATATTTTTAGAGGACTATCCGAGCAATAACCGCGAACTTTTAAATACTATTTGTTTCGAGCACTATCAGAGCTATCTTGGATTTTCGAGGAGAGAGCTATATCGAGCCATAATCGTAGATTTTTAAACAATAATTTTCGAAGACTATCTGATCTTTAAATGTGAACTTTTTAGCGAATATTTCTCAAGGACTATTAGAGTTATAATCGTGAATTGGAAAAATGAAAACTAACCGAGGAATACCATCGTCATCGTCGATTTTAAACGATATTTTTGAGGACTATTAAATATATAAGCGTAGATCTTTTTGAGAGGATTTTCGAGAAATATATTTCGAGAACTATCAGAGCTATAATCGTAGATTTTTAAACAGTAATTCTCGAAGACTATCTAAGCTATAAATGTGAATTTTTTAGCTAATATTTCTCAAGGACTATTAGAGTTATAATCGTGAATTGAAAAAAAAAAAATAACTGAGGACTATCAGTGTTGTAATCGTCGATTTTTAAACAATATTTTTTGAGGGTAATTAGACCTACGAGCGTGGATCTTTTAGAGAATAGTTCTTAAGGATCATCAGAGCTGTAAACGTGTGTCTTTTAAAGAATGTGTTTAGAGGACTATTGGAGGTGAAATTGTGGAATTATAAACATTTTTTTGGATGACTATCAGAACCATAAATTTGGATATTTTAGCGAATATTTCTCTATTATTTGAGGACATTCAGAGCTATAAACGCAAATCTCTTAAAGAATATTTTTAGAGAACTTTTTGAAGACTATCAGAGCTATAAACGTGAGTCTTTTAAAAAATATTTTTAGAAAACTATTTGAGGACTATCAGAGCTATAAACGTGGATATTTTAAAGAAAATTTCTCAAGGATCATCAGAGCTATAAAAGTGGATCTTTTGAAGAATATTTTTAGAGAGCTATTTGAGGATTATCAGAGCTATAAACGTGGGTCTTTTAAAGAATATTTTTAGAGGACTATTAGTGCTGTAATCGTGAACTTTTAAACAATATTTTTGGGAACTATTTGAGCTGTAATTTTGGATTTTAAAAAAACCTTCTTTCGAGGACTAGCAGAACTATAAGCATGGATTTTTAACCAACATTGTTAGAGCACTAAACTTCCGTTCGATGACTATTAGAGCTACAATAGTGAATTTGAAAGCACTATCAGGAGGTATAACGGATGAGTTTTAAACAACAATTTTTCGAGGAGTATCACACATATAATCGAGAATTTTTTAAACAATATATTTTTTCCGGGAAATCAGAGCTATAAAAATTCATTTTTTGCAGATTTTTTCCAAGTACTATCAAAGCATATAATCAATTTGAATCCTTTACTCACTTCTCACAGTGGCAGCATAGTTCTCACGCTGCCTCTCCCGCTCACGTTCCCTCTCCAAACTTGCTGCCAGCATAGCGGTTGCTCCCATGCCCATATTGCTACTTAAGCTGCTACTCGGCGGCGGATGATAGACTCCACCATTACTTATAGGATTCGCCATGGATATATTTCCATTATGTTTCATATGCAGCACTGAAACATTACCACTTGTCACAGTGGCTCCATTTCCATTCCCCGCCACTTTTTCGTGGGTGACCAAATTTGCCGATGACACAGTGCTGTGACCATGACTGTGCACCCGATTGCGTCCCAATGTGGGTGTCGTCTTTCGCGCCTTATTTTTGTAGTGTACAATGTAACACGTCAAGGCCAGTATGATGAGTATGAAGAGAGCCACAATTATACCAAACATGCCCAATATGCTGTTACTCCATGAGGCTTGGGCCAAGGCCACACCTTCCATGGTAACGGATACAGGGACTGAAGTGCTGCGTGGTGGCACCCCAGTATCGGTGGCAATGGCAATCAGGTGTATTGTGGATTCATTTAGAGTTTGTAACTGTTCGGGTCTCATATAAATGTTTCCGGTATTGTCTATCTCAAATAGGCCAGCATGTTGTCCCCTTAACGACAATTCCAGTTTGTCATTGCGATCACCATCTGCCGCCTCCACTTTGCCTATTACCACACCATCCAAGGACTCCGATCTGGATTGTAAGGTTTGCTGTAAGAAAAAAAGGACACAAACAATTAATTTGCTGCAATCCCTTGGAAGAAACGTGTTTTACTCACACTCTTCGGCACAATAAACTCATAGTGGGTCTCACGAAATCTTGGCTCCCAATCGTTGACATCGGTCACCTCCAAAGTCACCTCTGCGGTGGTATTGGTCATGCCATCTGTGGCCACAACTTGAAACTCATGTTTTGTCATTTTCTCATAATCCAATGCCTTGGCCAATATAACCTCTCCCAAAGAGCCGACTGTGAAAAATTCCGCATTCACCGGATCCGGTATGGTGTATTTCAAATGTTTCCCTGGCTTATTGGTGGGCAAAGCCAAGATACGATTCCCCACGGCGGTGTCTTCTCGTATCCGCATAAAAAATTTCTTCTGGACAAAAGTCAAGGCACTCAAATCGCTGTGCGTCCCAATACCAGGCCTCGATAGTGTAACCGTTGCCAAGGCATAACGATCGGGATTGTCAATTTGTGTTGCTTTCACTACCAGCGTTGCACCATTTGTCAAATCCGAATATCCAATGGGTGTGAGCAGAGTTATAACCCCATTATGCGGATGTATTCGAAAATATTTTGTATCCTGGGATTGGACAATGGAATATTGTATGGGTGCACAAATACCCTCATCCTGATCGATGGCCTTTAACGGCTCCGGACGTATACGCAAATCACCTGGCCTTCCATCTGTGGGTAAATCTGCACTATAAGTTTCCCTTAGAAATTTGGGATTTTGATCATCGGCATCGGTAATGACCACCCTTAGCACGGTATCGGAATATTTAGGTGGGGTGCCCTGATCCTGGGCCCTCAGCTTCACTGTGAAATTTTGCATTTGCTCATAATCTAAAGCTTTTTTCAGAACCAAAGTGCCCTCTAATGGGTTTAGGAATTGTACATATTCTGAATAGGGACCCGGCAGTACTTGATATTCCACTGTGGAAAATGGTCCTTGTTGATCGGCATCCTCGGCCTTGGCTCCTTGCAGAATGCGGGTACCCGGCACTGTTACTTCGGATAGGGTAAGGGTGTAGGGTGTTCCAATCCATTGCGGTGCATTATCGTTGATATCAATCACTCGAACATTGACTGGTATAACGAAGCTCTGGAAGTAGAGAGAGGAGAAAAGAGGAGGTAATAATTAATACATATATAAATTAAATTAAAACGAATATTTTTCAGGGTCTTTTAGAGCTTCGGATGTGAACTTTTGAAGGAATATTTTGCATGAATTATCGGAGCATGACCAGTATATCAAAATTCTGTAAGAAGGGAAGGGAAGAAGAGAGGTAAGAATACATAAAATCTTTATTAAATTGTAATTGTTTCAAAAATTATTTTTTCAGGGACCATCTGGAATATTTTGTAAGGTCTACCAGAGCATAAAACGTGGATTTTACAAGGAGTACTTTTTCAAGGACTATCAGAGCATAAAATATGGGGACTTTTTTCAAAGACTTGGAGCTCCAAGATTTTTTTTACAATATTTTAGGACTACTTTTTAAGGACCAACAGAGCATAAAACTTGGATTTCATATTTTCTAGGACACAGCATGAAAAGTAGATTTTTAAGGAAAATTTTTCAAGGACCTACATAGATTAAGAAAATTTTTTTAAGGACTATGAGTCCATGTTACATGCATTTTCAAGGACTAACATGCATGAACTCTTTTTAAGAATCAACAGAGTGTGAAATTCGGATTTTTTAAGAAATACTTTTCAAGGATCAGCAGGGAATGAAATGTGGACCCATAAGCAATATTCTTCAATTACTCACAGCCCATGAAACGAGGATTTTTTCAAGAAATAAATCTTCAAGGACTGCCAGAATTTTAAAAGCGGACTTTGAAAGAATATTTTTCAAGGACCTATATAGCACAGAATGAGAATTTTCAAGCATTAACAGAGAATGATTTTTAAAGGAACATTTTTCAAAGACTACTTGTGTTTCAATTGTGGATCTTTAAAAATAAATTTCCAAGAACTACTAGAGCATGGGGCGCAGATTTTTAAGAAATATACAGGGTTCGATAAAAAAAACTGCAACAAACGCCATAATTTTTAAATTTTTTTGAATTTATTGAATGAAAGCAACAAATTTCGGAAATAGCATCACATTTTTAAAATAAGTTTAGATTTGTTCGAATTGGTCACCTTTGGCAGGAATTATGGCCTTCAAATGGCCAATGAAACAGTCACAAGCTGCCCGAGTATTGCTCTGCGGTATTTTGGCCCATTCTCGGCGAAGTGCTTGCTTTAGGTGATCGACACTTGGGTATTTTTTAGTGCCAACCTTGCTTTCCAAAAAATACTCCAGACACAATAGTCCAACGGATTGTTATCCGGAGATTTTGGTGGCCATTGTGCGCTGGAAATCAAGCGAGGAACCTCATTTTGTAACCATTCTTGGGTGGCGTGTGCTGCGTGCGATGGTTTGGAGTGTTGTTGGAATAACCAAGGTCTGCGGCCAAAATGTTTGCGTGCCCAAGGCTTTAATACACCCTCCAGAATATTTTTCTCCATAATATTCGGCATTTATTCTGATGTCACGGTCGATTAATACGAGCAGAGCGGAGAGCGACCATCGGCAGGTATGGCGGCCCACACCATCACCATGGCCGTCGCTTGAGCTCTGGTGGCCAAACGAAGGTGCTCACTTTCAGCAGACCTCTTTGGCAAGTAAACCCGATCATTTTGTTTGTTTACAAACTGTTGGACAATGAATGTTTTCTCATCGGAGAAAACCAAATTCGGCAGTTCACCATTTTCGGCCAAGCGAAGCAACTCTTTAGCTCTTCAGAGTCTATTTTATTTCTGTTGCGGTGTAAGTTCTTGCACTTTTTTGGAATTTCAATGGCTTTATCCCGAACTCATTTTTCAATATTTGACGAATGGAATATTGCGATATGTTCAGCTCACGCGACGCGGGCTTCGATCAAAATGCTTCTTTACTTTTCGAACCATTTCTGCTGATGTTGCTGTTTTCTTCCGTCCACTTCCTTGATATCGGGCCACACAACCAGTATCACGGTAACGAGCGATGGTACGAGACACAAAAGATTTATTCACATTTAAATGCTGGAGTGCTCCAACGATAGCCATTTGTGGATTTCCAGCCAAATATAAAGAAATCACACTATCCCGCTTGAATTCCATCACGAATACCTATTTTTTCTGGAAAATTCTCACCAAAATGCTTTTGTACGCTTGTGGACAATATACTCAGCTGTCACTGGAATAATTTTTCACAGCTGTCGGACGAGTGACTTAGAAATGACATCAGTCTGAAGTTGTTTGCAGTTTTTTACATCTCATCCTGTAAGGAGCAAAAGAGCATGAAACGGAGACTTTTTAAGGTATATTTTTTTAAAGACCAACTGAGCATGAAACGCATATTTTTAAGGAATACCTTTTTCAAGGATTTTTACGGCATGAAAGTTGCATTTTTAAAGAAATCCGGTCAACTACCAACAGAACAACCAACGTGGGTTATAAAACAAATGTTTTTCCAGGACCAACAGAACGTGAAACATGGATTTTTAAGAAATATTTTTTACAAGGACAATCTGGATTTTTAAAAACGAACTAAAGATGGAATTTGAATTTTCTTAGGATTTTATTTTCAAGGACCAACCGATAAGGAACAGACCTCTAAATGGGGATTTTTAAGGTAACATTTTCGAGGACTGTTTGGATTTTTTAAGGACGAACAAAGCCTGGAATTTGGATTTTCTTAAGATTGTATTTTTAAGAACCGACAGAAAGGTGGATCTTTAGGGACTACTTTTTTAAGGACCAACAGGTAAGGAACAATGCATTTTTAAGGAGAAATTTTTCAAGCACTATCAAAGCTCTAAATAAGGTTTTTAAGAATTACTTTTTTAAGGATTAACAGATAAGGAACAATGCATTTTTAGGAGTAATTTTCCAAACAGTATCAGAGTTCTAAACGAGGATTTTTAAGGTAACCTTTTCAAGGACTATCTGGATTTTGTAAGGACGAACATTGGATGACATTTGGATTTTCATAGGGTTATATTTTTAAGGACTAAGAAATTATTAAACGTGAATTTTTAAGGACCAACAGTTAAGGAAAAATGCATTTTTAAGGAGAATTTTTCAAGCACTATCAGAGCTCCAAACGAGCATTTTAAAGATTACTTTTTTTAAGGATTAACAGATAAGGAACAATGAATTTTTTAGGAGTAATTTTCCAAGTACCATCAGATCTCTAAACGGGGATTTTTAAGTTAACATTTTCAAGGACTATCAGGGCATGAGAATGGATTTTTAGGGAATATTTTTGATACTTAAAAATGTAGGTCCACGTCCCCCTAGGCCCCCCCCCCCCCAATATTCGGTATTTTGATGATTTTAGCGAATTTATTCACCGGAATTGTTTAAAATTTGGTATTCGAAATTAGTAATAGATACTACAGCCTACGACAGAAAATTGTCTGTGCAGGTCCACGTCTTGGTATAGCCCCATATAACGGTACCTTCCGATATTCGTCATTTTAATGATTTTATGGACATTTTTTCACCAGAATTGTTTCAAATTTGGCGTTTGAAGTTCGTAATAGATACTTCAGCCTATGACAGAAAATTGTCTGTGCAGGTCCACGTCTTCGTATAGCCCCCATATAACTGTACCCCCCGATATTCGGTATTTTGATGATTTAAGCGAATTTATTCACCGGAATTGTTTCAAATTTGGTATTTGAAGTTCGTGATGGATACTACAGCCTACGACAGAAAATTGTCTGTGCAGGTCCACGTTTTCATATAGCCCCCATATAACGGTACCTCCCGATATTCGGTATTTTAATGATTTAAGCGAATGTATTCACCAGAATTGTTTCAAATTTGGTATTTGAAGTTCATAATGGATACTACAACTTAAAACAGAAAATTGTCTGTGCATGTCCACGTCTTCGTAGAGCCTCCATATAACGGTACCTCTCGATATTCGGTATTTTAATGATTTTATGGACATTTTTTTCACCAGAATTGTTTCAAATTTGGCATTTGAAGTTCATAATGGATACTACAGCCTAAGACAGAAAATTGTCTGTGCAGGTCCACGTCTTCGTATAGCCCCCATATAACGGTATCTCCCGATATTCAGTATTTTAACGATTTAAGCGAATTTTTTCACCGGAATTGTTTCAAATTTTGGTAATTGAAGTTCGTAATGGATGCTATTACCTATGACTAGAGATTGTCTGTGCAGGTCCACCTATTCGTAAAACCCCCATATAACGGTACCTCCCGATATTTGGTATTTTAATGATTTTAGGGACATTTTTCTCCAGAATTGTTTCAAATTTGATATTTGAAGTTCGTAATGGATACTACAGCCTACGACAGTAAATTGTCTGTGCAGGTCCACGTCTTCGTATAGCCCTCATATAACGGTACCTCCCGATATTCGGTATTTTGATTTTATCGACATTATAACCGATTTTTTTTTAAGTTTCGCATTTGAATACTTATGACAAATGTTACCTACGCAGGTTCATGTCGTCGTATAGAACCTAATATAATAGCTACATTCGGTATTTTTAAGATTTTAACATAATTTTGAACGGATTTGATTGTTTTTAAGAATTGCCAAATTCGTTCCAAATGGTGGAGGGTATTCAAAGTTCGGCCCGGCCGAACTTACATCTTTTTTACTTGTTTATCATTGCAATTAATTTTCCCCTTGGGATTTTATAGCCCATTTAAAGAATCCCAGTTGCAATTTAATGGCATCTTCACCCAATTGTTTCAACATTCTAAAGCCAATTAATCCAATATCTTGAAGAGATTTATACTTAAATTTAAACATCATTTAAACATTAAATGCTTTGGATTAATGTTCTGATTCCAAAACATTTGATGTTTCTTACCTAGTTTCCTACTCTTCAAATGCCAATACCAACAACAAACAGCAATTCCATGCAATTCAAAAAACCTGCAGGGATTGAGAAGTGGCGGCAAACACTATTCCATGTTATTACCGGCTAATCTAAGGAGAACAATCTACAACTAAAACTTACACATGGCGATGACGACACACTGGTCAATGAACTCAAATGTAAACAGCAAAGCACACATCTC